GACACAGAACACGTGGACGACTGGACCCCATTGTGAACATTGCGTGAAATAGGCCTCGTTAGGATGGCAGAGAGAATTCGGCGTGGGAGAGCATGGGGTGGTTAAATATAGTTGTAAGAACGGGAACAATATAAGCAAAGGAAGGGAAGGGAATAAGAGGAGAGAGAAATGAAAAGAAGCGATTAGAAGAAAAGGGGGAAGGGAAGACCGTGGAAGGAGAATAAAGGGGGGTGGGGATAAGTGCAGATGCAAAGAAAAAGAAAGAAGGAAAAAATTCAGGGGAGATAGGAAGAGTGAAGGACAGAAAAAAAGAATGAGGAAGTGGAAGAAAAATGGAGAACAGAAGAGGAAGTGCAGATATGCGAAGAAAAGAAATGAGAGGGAAAAATCAAGTAGAGAAAGAGATAGAAGAGAAAAGTGGAGGAAAAGGAGAAGAACAGGCAAATTCAGACGAAGAAGAGATGGGAAGGGAAAGAATCAAGTAAAACATAATAAAAACAAAATACGGACAAAATATATAGACGGGGAAACGAGAAGAGAAAGGCGTGGCAAAGCAGGACTCTTTAGCAGCAAGAAGATAAATAAAGAGGGAAGAATAAAAGGTAAAGGAAGCAAATATGAAAGAAGAAAAGCAATAAAAGAAAAGAATGATGCAATAAGAAAGAAACATCTGGTCTCATTAAGCATTGTTACAAGTCAGACTTTATGGTTGAATTCTGAAAGATGTTTTTAAGTGTGTATTTATGAGTAAAAGAGATATCTTTTTATTCGCATCCCACATGAAGGTATATAATTTTCAATTAATTATATTAGCTCTAAATCACATAACATAAAAGAGAGAGAGAATGGATGGCATACAATGAGAGAGAGAGAGAGAGAAAGAGAAATAGAGAGAGAGAGAGAGAGAGAGAGAGAGAGAGAGAGAGAGAGAGAGAGAGAGAGAGAGAGAGAGAGAGAGAGAGAGAGTGAGGAGAGTGAGTGAGAGGAGGAGAGGGAGGGAGGGAGAGAGAGAGAGAGAGAGAGAGAGAGAGAGAGAGAGAGAGAGAGAGGAGAGAGAGAGAGAGAGAGAGAGAGAGAGAGAGAGAGGAGAGAGAGAGAGAGAGAGAGAGAGAGAGAGAGAGAGAGAGAGAGAGAGGAGAGAGAGAGAGAGAGAGAGAGAGAGAGAGAGAGAGAGAGAGAGAGAGAGAGAGAGAGAGAGAGAGAGAGAGAGATGAGAGGGAGAGAGAAGAGAGAGGGAGAGAGAGAGAGAGAGGGAGAGAAGAGAGAGAGAGAGAGAGAGAGAGAGAGAGAGAGAGAGAGAGAGAGAGAGAGAGAGAGACGAGAGAGAGAGAGAGAGAAGAGAGAGAGAGAGAGAGAGAGAGACGAGAGGGAGAGAGAGAGAGAGAGAGGAGAGAGAGAGAGAGAGAGAGAGCAGAGAGAGAGAGAGAGAGAGAGAGAGAGAGAGAGAGAGGAGAGAGAGAATGAGTGAGTGACTCAGTGTAATACACACACTCACACCCAGATAGATAGGGTGAGAGTAGGAGAAAATAGAAGAGAGAGAGAGAGAGAGAGAGAGAGAGAGAGAAGAGAGAGAGAGAGAGAGAGAGAGAGAGAGAGAGAGAGAGAGAGAGAGAGAGAGAGAGAGAGAGAGAGAGAGACAGAGAGAGAGGAGAGAGAGAGAGAGAAGAGAGAGAGAAAGAGATGAATGATGAGTAAGTGTAATACACCACACACACACACACACACACAACACACACACGCACACACGCACACACGCAACACACACGCAACAACACACACACACACATACACCACACCACGCAAGCAGCACGCCACACACACACACACACACACAGACACAGATAGATATAGAAGAGTAAGAGTAAAAAGAGAGAGAGAGAGAGAGAGAGAGAGGAGAGAGAGAGAGAGATCAGGAGAGAGAGAGAGAGAGAGGAGAGAGAGAGAGAGAGAGAGAGAAATATAGTTGAATTCCAGTTGCTAAAATGGTTATTCTTGGTGTGCCTGGCTGTCTGTTGCTTCTAAATTCCCCGTGTGCAAGGAATAGCTGGGGTTACAGTCCACTGGCAATCCTGCAAGATTTCTGGGCGTGAATGCCAGAGCACCACAGAACCTAGAGTGAACGAGAAAAACATACATATCTAACAAGTACCTGATTAAAGTTCTTATGTTAGATGAAATGTTCAGCATATGGAAATGTGCACACTTCTGTACTTGCACATGCCTCATTTAGAAGATGCATTATTTTATATATCTAAAAGAAAAGAAAAAAACATTATGTAGTTATTCCATGATAAACAGTTATTTGGTGCTAAATAAAATAAACATATCTACAATATAATTAGCTTCCATAATCAGTGCACTTACAAAAATATGAAAATAATGAATACTCTTTGAAATTTTACATATATGTCTAAAAAAAATGTATATGTAATTGTTCCAGTCTTTGCTAATCACATGCTATATGGATAAGACAAAAACAAGATTCAAAAGTATAGTTGATCTTTATATGCTATATATAAACACACAGATATAAAAGAAGTACAAAAGTAAGACATTTAAGGAAACAAATAATATTTCTCTTACAAAAAAATTATGTGACAAACTGGAAAGCTACCAGCCATACACCTCATTATCTTTCCTCAGTCATAAATGCTACATAAAAACCAAAACAGTGCCTTTACAAAATTCTTAGAATATGAATAGGTTGATTTCTCTTCTCTAACCCACAGAGAAGGCTAAATATAGTCAAGCTCCTCTGGAATACCAAACTGTTTATTGAGAGTTCCTTCCTCGATAAAGAACTTCGTCTTGCACCAGCTCTTTATGGCAAAAATGTTATCTGTCCAGCGGTTGACAGCTACTTGGGCAATCTGAAAAAGAGAGGGGAGAACAAATTATACAAAACTTAAATTTGATTTTAATAAATGTATACAAATGAACGTTGTCATTGAATACCCAGACTAGCCCACTGCCAGATGATTTCATCCAGGCTTTTCTGTCTCCTCCACTTCAGGGAAATTCTTGTCACTTATTAGCTCAATCTTTGAATTCAATTTGGTAGCATGAAAGAAAACATAATTACAAAATATCAATAGGACAAAAAAGATTTTATCATTTAAGCCTCTGCTTCCAATACAAAAGTGAAAAAAGTATTTATTGTGGTCAATATTTAAATCAAATCAACAGCTTTTAAGACCTAAAAAACATCAAAGAAAAGTTTTATAATGCATGTGAATTTCTCTGAGTTGCTTATTTACAGTAAATAGAGATGTTTAATGAGAAACTAATTTGATTTTTTTTCTCTTCTCTAATCAAATTTTTGAGGGCATACAAAAACTTTCTTATGCAGAAGACATTATTGATTCTTTTCAATTATTCAATGTGCATGTTAATAAATTATATAAATGTCTGAATGACAAGAAATTATGGATAAACTAGTTTTTAAAAAAAGCTAACCATTTACTATTACTTGAAGAATCAAAAGTTGAGGATCTGTGAAACACACTTAAGTCTTAACTTAAGAAGGATATTACTCCATACATGGTCCAAAGAAAGCCACACTTCCAAGAAATGTTAAATAATACATACAAAAATATAAGCAAAACTATATATTTCATTAAAATATTGGTATGGTTATTTACAAATACTTCTTTAAAAATTCACCTTTAAGAGATTAATAGGGTGTCACTATCCATACAGTGATTAGAAGACAATCATAAGAATATGATATTATCTCCATATTCAAGAGCTAATCAAAATATTGTTGCTCCTACACAACTTGGACTATTTCAGTTATTCTTGAAAAACGAAAAATTCTGATTTATAAATAATAATAATGAAAATTAGATAAAAGGAAGTTTTAGTGCTCTCATTTTAATATTTCAGTAGATGACTGATACATCTATATGACACCTTAGACCAAGTCTTACTTCCAGCATAAGTTTAATATCTATTGATATTGAAGGATTACATAATAACAAACATATTTTTGCTTCTCTACTTATGTTTTTTTTTTCTCATCACAATCAAATATCTGCAAAGGGTTTAATTTAGAAGTAAAGTCTGTTAAATAAAGTGAGATATAAAACACTAAAAAAGTTGATCATTGATCACTACACTCTCTTCTATTGCAGGGAAATAAATTAACAAACTAGAGACCAAGATAACAACTGATGATCTGTATGTAATATTCATATCACAAAATCTTATTAAGTTATTCCCTTCTTGTGCATGGCCTCAAAAATTAAATTGGCTATAAACCTTCAAAATGTTTGGTTATTGTCTCCACACAGCACAAGACATTACTGAAGACTGACACATTAATCATTAGTCAAATGCAGAATATCTTACGCATGCAAAGAACACAGCAGACGTCAGAATAATTTTCTAGATTCCAATTCAACACTAAGACAATTAATGAGATAAGGCTGAATTATGTCTTTGAATCAGAGTAGAAGTATATGCATTCTCTGAAATGTAAATGGTCAAGATGGCTTACTATGACCACTTCAAACAAAACATCTTTGTTACTTATTTCCATCTATGAATGCAAAAGTGTATACTACATTTAAAATAGTCTTAACATAATTATGCTGTACATTTTTATGCCATCCATAATCCTATGAAGTCTACATAAATTGCACTCTACATGATACACAAACTAAAATGAAGACATGGATATTTTTGCAAATTTGTTGTCCATCAGAAGTGAACAATTGGCTTTTTTGAACAAAGAATTCTACACACTGATTAATAAAATATGTATCAGGCATGTAAGCAGACAAACAAATAAATAAATTAAATTGAAATAAAATAATAAAAACTTCTTTCACTTTATCTAACACCTTCACTTCTTTCACTCTACACATCATCACTAGACTGTTACAGTTACTAAGTATGCATTCATTCTTGTTGATTATGACCAATGAGAGTCAACTTTAACTAACTTGAAAAAAAGCAATACAATAAAATAAACAATCTTACCTGTGTTTCCTCCTTTACTTGATTAAGCACATCTGGATCACAATCACGATACTTTTGCAGACTATTAAGAAGCTCATCTCTTGTGCTCTCCAGTTCTGAGAGTTTTTCCAACAACTCTTCTCTACCTTCACCTTCCTCTCTTCCAATCTACAAATCAAATTAGGAATTTTGTATTCAGAAAGAATGTTATTAGTAGTCTCTCCCTCTTTATACGAAATTGGAGATATTTTGTATTAGGAAAAAATATGAACAAGAAGTCTCTGTCTCTCTATATAGAAATGGAGGTATTTTGCATTGGGAAAAGAATATTATGTATAAGAAATCTCTGCCTCACTATACAAAATAGGATATATTTTGTATTGGGGAAAAAAAATTATGAATAAGAAATCTCTGCATCTCTATGCAGAAATGGAAATGTATCATAGTGATTATAATAAATTTCACATAGCTCTTCTTGTCTAGAAAACTTTACACAGTCACAAGAGCTACAGTCAACCATCAGGTTTTGGCCTATCAATTCACTGTCTTTCATGTTTTGGTATGTATCTTTAAAAATATCTGCTTCTCTGAAATACATATTTTTCAAACTGCTATAAATAACTGTGTCAAAACTGTATTCTAACGAATTACATAGATATACATATCCAGCTTTTCAAAGGCATGAATATAATGGGTTAATGATAAAAAATATTTATGATTACTAGAGGCTAATCAAGGTATGCATACTTGAAAGTAACAACATTCATCTATTTACATTCAAGCTCAACACCGAACTGGTTTCTAAGATGAATTCTCCTTAATCTCTTTTTATGAAACTTCAAAGCAAACTTTGCGAGTTGAAAAATTCTTTTAGTTCTTACCATTGCCTGTTCCACCTTTGACTGAGATGTTTTCAGTCTTTTGTTCAATTCTTGTTCTCGGGATGACAAATCGTCTATCTTTCTCTTACGGATGCTAGTGGCTTTGCTGTTGAAGGAAGCATCATTAATGTAATGCACAATTCCATGAGATAAAATACTGTTTCCCTTCCTGTTTTATCTTTTTTTCCTCTTATGACAGTTTTGGAAACCTAAGTCTCACTCTAGACTACTTCTATCATCTATATTATCACAACATATATATGGTACCATAACACAATATCTTTGAACTATATTTTTCAATAGAAGACTTTTCTAAACATGCAAAATACATTTCAGGAAGAGCATTATGAAACCTAAAAATATATAACATATTAAGCCTACTACTTCCTACCTTGTAGCACTAAGCAAAGGAGAAAATAAAGTCTAAATACAACAACAAAGCAAGGATACTAGATCCTGCCTTATAATATATGCACAGGAGAATGAAAATGAGTCATAATATACTCCACATGGTAGAAGTGAAGGCTGTAATAAATTGAAATAATGATCTAACTATTCCTCTCAACTTTCATGTTTTGGTAAATATAATGGTCTGTTCTTGACCATTCTTTTGTTGTTTCCCATTGATAACTTATGAAGGGGAAGTTTTAGGGAAATGATGTCTATTTCCTCTGGCAGTACTAATTTTTCCCCTTTTATTTTACATTCCACAATAAAATGTCACTTCACTCTACAATCTAATAATGTCAATCTATTTCCCCACAATATAGCCTTAATCTTGCCTAACTTTACTTAAGCAAAAGTGCATCTGCATTGAAACATTATTTCCCAATGTCCCTGTACCATCTAGAAGTACAAATATCAAACAAGGCTTAAAAAACTCTAATGTCATGCAGTCACAGCCTCTCATCCATGACCTAACCTTGGAAATGCCCAGAAGTAAACAGATGTGCCAATCTTCTCCGTGTCGACCATGCCATCATCAACAAGCGACTGAACCACATCCTTGACTGCTTGAGAAATGACCCCCTTTTCCTTCGGACCCAGTTTCTCTAGCTCCTGTAATGACAAAGGACAGAGTCACCTTCTTAATAATACAAAAATACCATAAAGAAATGTCTGGTAAAATACTAGAATTAATAGCTACAGCACAAAAGCTGTATGTGACGTTGGTCCTAAGCCTTTAGGGAGATAATAGGACAGATACATGCATCTGTTATCATTATCATTACTATTATCATTATCATTACTATTACTTTTCATTATCATTATCATTATTATCAACATGATCACTATCATAAATATTATCATTATCATTAATATCATCATTATAAATACTACTGTCAACACAGTTGTTGGCATTACTATATAGTATCTGATTATTTTCTCTTATGATATTAAAAGTAGAGGATTATTTTCATTGTTTTATAATTTCCACTTATAAATAACTTTGATGAAGCGGGCTCTTTTCAATGTTAGGGGTACCAGCCTATAGCTTTAGGGACACTATCTATCTATCTATTATATATATAGAGAGAGAGGGAGGAGAAGAAGAAGAGGGAGGAGGGGGAGGGGGAGGGAGAGAAAGAGGGGATGGAGGGGGAGGGAAGGAGGGAGGAGGGAGAAGGAGGGAGGAGAGAGAGAGAGAGAGAGAAGAGAGAGGAGAGAGAGAGAGAGAGAGAGAGAGAGAGAGAGAGAGAGAGAGAGAGAGAGAGAGAGAGAGAGAGAGAGAGAGAGAGAGAGAAGAGAGAGAGAAGAGAGAGAGAGAGAGAGAGAGAGAGAGAGAGAGAGAGAGAGAGAGAGAGAGAGAGAGAGAGAGAGAGAGAGAGAGAGAGAGAGAGAGAGAGGAGAGAGGGAGAGGGAGGGGAGGGAAAGAGAGCGAGAGAGAGAGAGAGGAGAGGGGGAGGGGAGGAGAGGGGAGGAGAGAGAGAAGAGAGAGAGAGAAGAAGAGAGAGAGAGAGAGAGAGAGAGAGAGAGAGAGAGAAGAGAGAGAGAGAGAGAGAGAGGAGAGAGAGAGAGAGAGAGAGAGAGAGAGAGAGAAG